GCTATGGGGTCCATGCACATGTACACAGAACTAAATAACAGTCATTTCAAAAACATCGTTAGAATTAAAACATTCTGGAAAAGGGAAGCATACATGAACCCCCAATATCTGAAAATAACACAATACGTATTAATATAAAACTTTGCCGCTATTTTAAATTAAATCATTTATACCTGTAAAAGTATACAAAACTGCAGTTACACATAAGCTGACAGGGACTCTCCAGGCGAACATGAAACAGCGTGAAACAGAGGAAGGAAAGAGTAGCAGGGACGTATAACCTACATTGTGTTGATTGCGTGTGTGAGATTGTGCATGGATGCAATCTTATGAAGAAGTCGCGTGCATATGCTGCCCAAGTGAATAATTTAGGACTGAAATCTGGGAACTCATTTACAAATTCCGGTGTTGGCAAGGAAATTTGTATTTTTTAGTAAAAACTTTGCAGTATTTAACACAGTTTCAGTTGTCTTCACATTAAGAAAATATAAATCTAAGTGTAAAGATACAAATTGTCCATTATTAGTATTACCTTAGTCTTATTTGGACTAAATGGAATATTCTTGAAGAGTTTGTTAACCTTTTAAAGTAAGATAGTTATTGCATGTAGAGTCTGTTTTAATATTTGAAACTTTTCGTTTGTCGACATGTTGTTTCGTGATTCCCAGAATAAACAGCAAAATAATTATTTCAGTAAACAATATTAACAAGTTGGCTTTTGCAATTGAGACACAGTTTCTTTATTATGAGGTAGGAAATTGATTTTTATATATTATTTTAGATGAAATTTATGCTTCAATATATCAAAAGATAGATTTTGAGTTTAATTTTCCCATGGTATTTACAAGCTCTAAATGAAAAATGAAAGAATATTTCTACTTTCCATCTTTCCTTTCTGGATTATTTTTGTGACGGTTCGTGTCCTATGACTGGTAAAGTGTAAAGTGTGCTTTCATAAATTTAAGAGTATTACTTCAGACAAGATCCAAAGGTACACAGAACACAACTGAGCTCGGACCCTCAGTTGCTTGCATAGTTTATAAAGTACGTTGAGACTTGGAATTATATGTTCATTAGATTGTATCTATTGCATAAAAATATATTTCGTTAAAGTGATCAACTCTCTCTATTACGCAAAGTCTATTTGATAGGCAATTTTAATTTAGCTGACGAAGAGATGTCCAATTAAAGCCCAGGACTTAACTACTAACGTCTTACGTTAAGCTACCTTCGGATTCCATCGCCGTATGAGCTGCTAGGCACATATTCTTAGAAATACGAAACCAAGGCACTATAGCCACAGTTGGTACAAATTCAGAAAAACGAAGGCATTGTAGCCACGGTAGGTATAAATTCAGCAAAGCCAAGGCATTGAAGCCAAAGTAGGTACAACTTCAGCAAGCTGTATCAATTAAATTAAAATAAAATATGGACGTTTATGAAAGTAATCATGACAGATCAATGGATCTATCAATATTACTAACCTTTGAGTAATTTATGTTCTCGTAGCTTTGAAAGTAGGTTAATGGAAGAACAGAGAGTGTAGACATTTGAGAACAGGGGAGCTGAGGCGAATCTTCGTAATTTAATTTGAGAATATGAGAAAATATCATAACAAGCTTCATAATTTGTACACAAAATGTTATGATGGTCATATCACAAAAGATGGGAAGAGCATGTAGCATGTATGATAGAGATATGAAATGCATACAAACTTTTGGGCGAAAACCTAAATACAAAATTCTATTTGGAAGACTTGAGCATATTTGCGATATTACCATGAATTCTAGAGAGAAAGCATGCGGACTGGTTTAATCTGGCATAGGATAGGCACCAGTTGTATGCTTTTGAGGACAATGTAATTAAACATCAAGTTCCATATAAGGTAATGAGTTTCTTGGATTTCTGAGCGAATGCAGGAATTTTAAGAAATGTTCTGCTTGGAATTAATTAATCGTTTCCAAAGCAGTAATATATTCCACTCATAGAACTGTGATATTAAGTCTGCATTGTCTACAAATTTCAAGAAACATTACATAAAAATGAGCAGGGTACAATGTTCAATCAACCAGCAAGATTTATCCTTGTCAACATGACATCTGTAAACGTTCCAGAGGTAATAGTCCTGTGTGTGTTTCAAGGTGCTTTGGAGAAACCAAGGAAAGTTGTGACAGTGGTTTTAAGAGTACAGAATTAAGACAACTATTTGTGTGCCTCCTATTTACAGGTTTGCTCCGTACATGAATCTATTCGTTACTGCTAATCTATGTCTCATCCAAAACATATATGTTATTCCCATGCTTAAGGACGCTACTCAAATTAATCCTACACATAAAAGTAACCACAGAGTTATTCTGGAATATTTAAAAATCCATATATATTAGCAATTTGAGGCATAATTTTAATCGTGATTGTAAATTTTTCTGAGAGTAAGCAGATGCGGCAATTTTATATAAAAATATTTTTCAGTAGTTATCTGTGGTCAGGATTCCTGGCTACAGATCCAGAGGTTCCGGGTTCGATTCCCGGCGTTACCAGATTTTTTTGACCCTTTATAACTCTCCGCATGGACCATACAAGAAACACAGCCTCTCTAGTGTTGAGAATGTTTGTTTACTGATCTGTTGCCTAGCAATGGATGTCTTATTGCTGCGCGTTTACAATTCTGCGGCAATGTGTTTACCGAGTCGTCTAGCAATGGGTCTACACGTCACAGTATATTATAATGGTACAAGGACTTCTTTGCACTCTTCATGCTGTATGAAAATTAATTCTATTAAAACTACAAGCAAATTCCTTGCTTAACTGGCTTCCTCTCCCACCCTGAGGATGGGAGTGAAGTGCGACAAAATTTATGTAAGCTATTGTCGTATCTCAAGTATAAGAATATATTTTTACTACTAAATTTACTCGGGGGCACGCGGTAGCGTAGTTGGTTGAGGCACTATGCTACAAGCCGGTAGGTGGCCGGTTCAATTCCCGATGAAGTCATTGGATTTTTTTTAAATTGACCTAATCCTCCCAGCCGTACTATAGCCCTTGCGTCGACTCAGCCTCTAACAGAAATGAGAACCAGGAATATTCTTGGGGATAAAGCGCGGCCGGCGCGTAAGGCTGAAAAACCTTACTGCCATCTGTGAGCCGATTGTCTAAATAATGTGGGACCCTTTACTTACTTTTACTAATTTTACTCTCTTCATTGTTAATCTGAAATAAATAAACATGAAACATGCATTTCTCTTTTTTAAACAATATTCTGAAACACGATTTGTTAATTCTCATAATTGACGTTAAAATTTTCAATTGTTAAAATATTAAAATATAAAAATAATGTATAATGTGACATGTAAATCCATTACTAGGCAACGTCTGCAAAACACATGGCCAAAAATACTGGAACAGTTTTTCTTTGTTTCCGTGCAGTTTGCACATGTTCGCTGACGTCACAAAATAGTGAACCAGTGTTTTCTTTCTGTCAGTGCAGCTTGGCTTCTCGATGAAGTCACACAACAATACAGAGGTCGTGTTTTCTGTGTGGTCCGTGCGGAGCCTATATCGTTATTCCTCTTGCTACCACTTACACTCTGTAAGGCACTGATCAGATCAGTAATGACTTACACTTGTCTCGCCTGGGAATTAGCGGCAGACACCTACCTCCTAAAATTGCAGCGCATGCAAAACAAGGTTTTGCACACCACTGGAAATTTTCCAAGGTGCACACAAGCCCGCGACTTGCACACGGCTTTCAACTTCCCGTATGTATACGATTATATAACAAAATTGTGCAGACGACAAGCAGAAGTCATACAAAATCATGATAATGAACAGTTCGCGGTATAGGACAAGGTGAAGCCAGACATAGAAAATATAAGAGGCTTAAACTTGGCGGTGGTCAAACTTATAACCGTTCAAATGACTTAAGTTTTCGTTGTACCATATGATCTCTAAGTTAGGCATGATCTGCTCTGTAAAGCCTGTACTGACAGAGGACTTGTGTGTAAAGCAAAAGGAAGAATTTTCGATAACATATTATATGTGCGAAATATACACTTGATGAAAGGTCGAGTGTATTCATAAGAAACAGACCAATCTTCTCGTCAGAGAGGATTTTACATAAGGACTATTACCACAAGCGTTCAGTTGAAAAAAAAATATCTGGTCGTGGGCCTCAAGGGGTCTGTTGCCAAGACGGATTTATTGGCGGTAAATCGCCAGTCGTAAAGTAACTCTGACACTTGGAGCACAGAGCATCCGTGAAACGCTTCATTTCACTTCAATTTCTTAATCTTAAGCAGTCGGCAGGAATCTATAGCCGGGAGATCAGCTCGTGGCAAGGCCGCTACCTACACAGGACAACACACACACAGGATAAACGCAGACAAATATCCATGTCTTGAGTGGGATTCGAACCCAAGGTCCTAGCGTTCGAGCATGCGTAGACATTTCATGTCTTCGACGGGCGGCCACGATGATCGGCAGAATTAATCTTTGAAGGCTAAACATTAGAGTTTTAATCGTTTATTCCCAAAGATCTCCTCCACTGTCCATGTAAATCATGCAACCCATATAGAGAGAAGTGAGATAAATGACATGAATTAGAAATAACTTTTTATAGTTCTACAAACGGAAGAAATTTAATAAAATTACGGTATCTTACTTTATAACTTATATACATATACCGTGTTTCTCTCCCCAATAAAACGTCGCGTTCTGAAGATTAGTTATGTCAATAGTTGTTCCGCTTGGAAATAGCGGCTCCGGTCTAGAAAACCGAGATTAACGGCCGTGGGGATCCGTTGCGCTGACCACGTGACACCCTCTATCAGGAAAAGTTGGCACTAACTTCGCCGACAAGCGGCGGTCGCTCTGTCGGTATAGTTTGCTTGCGGACTAGATGCCACGGAGTTTTTTTAATATTGAAACACTGAAATACTCATAAATATCTGCAATAAAGAAGGAATTTATGATTTCCAGAACAACTCTATGACAGGATCACCAACCTCTGCTGATAAATCGACGCTATCGATACTGGTGATATGATCATTCATTCTGGAGCAAGCGGGGCGGTCAAGCAATTGTGCTTGCACCTCCCTCGACATATGCAGCAATTCATCGTGATTGTGTACTTCAAGCTGATGGGATGGTCGGTGGCGGATGGGGGGTAGTGGTTTTAATGGAGGTTTGGCGTCGACAGCTTGTTGCTTCGGCTGTTGTCTCCGTCTGTCCAGTTGACGTCTGTCCAACTGGCGTCTGGCTTGTCTCCGGGCAAGAGAAAGTCCCCCGGCTGCTGCGTACATTGTTACCGACTTCCTTTATTGTCTCCGTTGCTGTAGCTGATTGTTGCTCATTGTGCTGAAAGTAAAACAGCCAGAAATGTCTATGCTAAGGGTTGCTCCTGTATGTATATGGCAGGCATTCCGTGTTGTAAAAAAAGCTCTAATTCATAATATTATGTGCAAGATTTATTAATATGATGTTAATTTTTGGTGCTAGATACAAATAAAATATTGATATAATAATAAGTGCAAAGAAGAATTACACTATTGTATACATGCTAAAGATATAATCGATTGGGAAAGAAACACGCGAAAAAAAACAAAGAGAAGCGCATGCAATTAGTATAATATATTAATGAAAATAGTATTTATTGGGAGGCTACATTATGTAGTAAACTAAGGTACAATGAAGTACATAAAACCCTCATTTCTTATTTATTAAAGTGCCGAGAGGTGTCTCCTAGTCTTTTCTTTTTTCTATTTCACCCACACGCAGAGAAAACAGTTGTTATTGCTTCAACAAAATGCTGGTCTATTTGTATTTGATTAACAAAATCTTATTCACAGTGGTCATGATTAACTTGATAATTAAATTTCTTATCCAGATTAATGTGATTAGAAAGGGTGCGATATTCTGTTTCCAGAGAAGATATGAACTCAGAAATGTAGAATGAGGAAGTTTAAAGGTAAAGCTGTCCCTGTAACAGGCTGTGGAGGCTTGTGAGACGTCGAGGCTCCCATATTTTCAAGACAATCGGCTCACAGATGGCGTTGAGGTTGTCAGTCTTACGGGCCGGCCGCCCTTTACCCCCCAGGAATATTCCTAGTACTCATTTCTGTTAGAGGCTGAGTCGACGTCAGGGCAATAGTGCGGCTGGAAGGATTAGGTAAAGTGAAAAAATCCACTTCATCGGGATTCGATCCCGTGGTCTTCCGGCTCACCTCAACCAACTACGCTACCGCTTAATGTTAATTTTATCTTCCGGTACCAACATACATAATGTGATTCGTTCCATTTAGGTGTGACCTCTCGTGACAGATACTGTGGTTCTCAGTTCGGTGTAAAAGTTACTGCTGCAATACCGACGTATATATTCTTCTTGTCGTCAGTTTGGTGAGTTTCGGATTCCGAAAAATTTTATGAACTCTATGAGATTTGATGTTCTCGCGCCCGAAATATAAAGATTACTATCTTCTTGACTGCCGTGCCACGTAGTTTAGGATACGTTTAGCGACGTTTCGGAGGACATTTCTGCAGCCATCTTCAGTGTAGAGTAGTAAAACAAGAATGGAAAAAAATTATATTGATATAAGGATGGGTTTTTTCAGGGCTCCTACTCTTTATCCGTACAATCTCTTTCCATATTCAGCTCATTATTCTGCCATGAAAATGGAGAAAGCACGTTCCACCGAAACGTCCGTAAACATCTACAAGGCTATATGACGTCACATCCCATGAGGCAGTAATTTTCCAAAAACTCGTTCTTTTACTTAATGGAAAATATATTTCGTATTCTGTTATGTTTAAATTCCCGTTAACGTATCGCGGTGTACAGCCGATTGTATCCGTTTCATTTGTTTCGCTACATCTTCTGACCTAAATGACCATCATCAGGTTAATTCTACGTTTTTGTCCATTTTATTGTTATTACCACAGGTTGTCCAGTCCTTAGAATTAATGGGTTTTCGGACCTTGTCCATCGTCCGATATTCTAGAGACTAGAAAACACAACGTCTCGGAAACTGGATCCCTTTCCATTCTCAGGTGAGGAGCGAAAACTCCTACTATGTAGGGCCCCTTAGAAAGAATTATCCTCAATCAATGTCTGGCTCTTTCTAAGGGACCCAACAGAGTAGGTGGCTTCCCCCTCACCTGAGGACGGAAACAGATACAGTTTCCGAAAAGTTGTGTTCTCTAGTCTCTAGAATACCAAACGATGGACAAGGTCCGAAAACTCATTAATTCTGAGTATTGTCCGTCATTGTCAGAACCCTTTAGAAACTAGGTTGTCCAATGTTTAAACAGGGGTCTACATGTTAAAAGTTACATGATTTCGCTACAGAACTACACTGTTGTAGCGAAATCTTATCGTTATTAACATTCAGACTCCAAGTTTAAACATTTTGCAGTGTGTAATAAAAATAATCCAATTGTCATTAAATTTAGAATTACCCTGGTTACGGTCAGCTAAGCTGAAATATCTAGCAAAATAATTGATATACTGTGTACAACTTTGTGTTAACAAACTTCCACACGTACTGAGATACACAACATGACTCTCCAATACAACATCTCATCATTTCATTTAATCTTACAGTTACGTAAATTCCAGTTTTGTTCGAATTACAGTTCAGAGACACTGAACACCAGTTCAGTATCCACGGCCCTCAAATAACAGAAGAAGATTTATATAGAATAATTATTTGCCTAAAGATATTCTCCACTTTAAATTCCACTTTGTATAAATTCTAAATCAACCAATAAATTCCATATTATTCACATCTGTGCTCTGCAAGACGCCTGTTTTAAGTGCAAGCATACCACGTACAGTCAGTTCAGGGCCTTCCCCGGGACTGAATTCCACCCTAGAACTTCCTGAAACAGTAAGTAGCATTCCTACTTTCTATTCGCGAGGTTCAAGTCTTGTCTCTATGATCTTCTGTCATGACTGAGGTTTATAGTTGGCTTCCCCAGTCTTTGCAGACTAATTCCGGGACAGTAATTCAAATCAGGTCACAATCCTTCCCTTTACACGTCCTTTCAAATCAGTTATTTGTTAATCATTCTAGTAAGGCACAGTAGATCACTGTGGTCGCGGTGCAAGGGCCAAGAGGGCCCACCCCTTACACATTCATTCATTCTCTGGAATACTTATATTAAATCAACAAATAAATAAAGTTTATGGCGGGAGAAATGAAATGTTTTCTTTTCCATGAGGTTCGAAAGGGGGATACGCGGTAGCGTAGATGGTTAAGGCACTATGCTACAAGCCGGAAGGTCGCGGGTTCGAGTCCCGGTGAGGTGGATTTTTTAATTTACTTAATCCTTCCAGCCGCATTATGGCCCTGAGGTCGACTCAGCCTCTAACATAAATGAGTACAAGGAATCTTCCTAGGGGGCAAAGAACGGCCGGCCTTCATCACTAACCGTCAGAACTGAATTCCATGTAAACTGTTCAAAGTTGGTCTCATGCACAGAGCATGTGAAGAGGATTGAAGCGGTATTTCACCTAACCCAGTTTCTTGTCTCTGTGCCTGGTGCCTTGGAACGGAGCCAATTTCAGGAAATTTCTGCTACACTTTTATTTACTTCGCTTGACACTAATCGACCATAGCGAGCTGGACACCAGGAAAACTTAAGAAGCGGAAGCCATACTATTACTTTCTTCCTGAGCCACTGAGCCACAACAAAGAAATCGCTGTCTTATTGTTACCTGCTGCTCGAGCTACGAACCAACAACAGAAATACGGAAAAGGTGATTTCAACGAGAACCAGACTTTCTTATGAATTTAACTATACGAGCTGCTTGAAGATTACTGACTTCCGGAATGTGATACCGTTTATCGCTACTTCGGAGGAACTTGCTGCCTCCACCTTCAGGGTAGAATCTCTCTTCTATCTGACTATGGAGATGAACTACCACCGAAATTTATGCAGTCTGCCAGATATTCGATACGTGGAATGTAAGAAGTCTCTACACAGGGCAGGATCCCTCATGACAGTTGCGAAGGAAATATCAAAATATAAATTAAGATTTAGTTGGAGTACAGGTGCAGCCACCTACTCACGCTAGTTCCTCGCTCGCTGATTTTATACTCTGAAGATGGAGGTGATACGTTCCTCCGAAACGTCGGTTCATATAAGATCTACACAGCACAACATCCCATAAGACGATATTCTTCATAGTCACCGCCGTGGAAACCTCAAATCTTACATAAATTGATCTTGTATATCCCTAGATATGTAATTATGAGTTACATCCATGGAGTAGAGTCCTTGAAATTCTGATAGTTGCTCAGCTAGTCAATAAATTCCCCGTCTTCTACAAAGCCCCAATATATGCAATAATTTTCTCAAGTGGTCGTAACTTAAAACTATTCTGCATGAGATGAATTCAATCTATGCCATGACGCTCTACTTCTATTAGATCCATTTCAATATTATCCTCCCACTTGCAATTAGGACAAACATATGAATGTAATATGGAAAGCGCTATACATTACGGGAAAGAAAACTGCCGATACAGTATAACAATCGAGGCCCGGCTGCACTTATATACGTTTTAAACATCTTCAACTGACAGACGTAGTATAAGTGAAACTTTCTGACGTACAATAGAACCACTTTAGTGCGCCGTGCTCAGGCAGCAACTTCTCCTCCTTCTGTGTTATGTGGGAAGCCTAAACGGATCAGACCGGCAGGCGTTCTCGGTAGCCCGTCCGTCATAACAGGTTACGTGTGAGTTTCGTTCACGAGACTGTATTGATCTGCCACTGTTTACCTTCTAGCGTTCCACCCTGTACTGCGACTTAAATATTGATTAGTCAACAATGCACAGGCTATGTATAGGCCGATGGTTAACATAAAGTTCTATCCGTGTCGCATTGTTCCCAATACTTTGATGATCTTTCTTCTGGTTATAGGTTGATAAGAAAGTCTCTGCTATATTTCCCGGCCTGGGCGTTCAACCGTGTTCCAAAATGATTTAATTATCTTATAATTAATCCTTAACCTGCAACTTCCACGAGGTGTGATTTTAGAACGTAGAAGATGAAAATTACCTCAACATCGGCCAGCTGAATAAAAACTAAATATGATTACACGTGTAGGTATTATTATTATTATTATTATTATTATTATTGGAGGGGGTGGGTTTCCCCATGCACCGCGACCAGTGGTCTATTGTACGTCCCCCTGTGATATTCTACCAGTTTCTATACCCTACCGATACTGGTGCGTGCCATCAGTCCCGACTCAGCCAGCGAGTTCGGCCTCTACTGCCTCAGCGCTATCTAGAT